TCTACTTCTAATATTCAGATCGAGTTCTAGGTTAAACTGGTTTGTTCGACTTTCAAGAAATTCGAGTTCTAGTGAGTTCGACAACCGAGGTACCACTGTGTTTGTGTGTGTGTGTGTGTGTGTGTATATATATATATAGAGAGAGAGAGAGAGAGAATCACAAACTAGTGATATACAAACAGTTCATACTTACTGTGCCAGTGGCCCAGGTCCACAATCTTTAGCCCGATAACAATTTGACGAGAGAACACAGATGTTTAGCTCTTGTGATACAGCTGTCCAAACGATGGACTCCAATATCTGCAAAACAAAATGGGGGGGGGGGCAAAAACACCAAAGTGGTGTCAAAGCACATCCAAGTGCATATCTTATCACAGCACACGACAGAGAGCGTGAACATATCACCACTGGGGCACCGAGGATGGCAGACAGCACGATTATGGCAATAAAGCTCTCCAGCGATACCTGTCATCCCTCATCCACTGTATATGGCTTTAATTCCTTCCAAAATGTGATCTTGACTAATAACCACATAATCTTCTCTGTTAGCACCATGGTTATAGTACTCTTATTTTCCTCATCAGACCCCTAACACACAGCGTATGACATGTTAGAGGTGTGATTCCCATCTTATCATCACAGCATTAGGGTCAAAGGTCACCTTCTCACTGAGGAAAGGAGAAAACAACGACTTGGGGGGGGGGGGCATCGTTCAGAGGACAAAGTTCTGCGTTTCTGCACTGAGTGTTAAAAGGCGTGACTGTCACTTTAAAAGTACTGCTGTCAGGCAGCTTATGATATCATGATTTTTAAAGATCTTTGGCTTGCAAGCTTCCTGATTGGCTCTTGGGTGTGGGCGGGGCGACCAGGCCCCTCCCCATGCTACCCCGACCACATGTCCCACTGCTCCGGCCATGCTGTGCCGCCCCCTCTGATACTCCGGGATCGGCGGCCCCTAAACCAGCTAGTCACTGATTAACTGTGTTGAGCAGCTTTCCTTGGGACACCATGCACTGCTGCATGCTTGAGTGCTTGGGTCCCCCTGTATTGTATCTGACTGTTACCATTTTCTTTTTAAGGACAAATTATGTGTTTCCATGTGTCATTGTCCAAGGAAAATATCTGATGAATAACAAAAGAAAAATATTTGCTATCCAGCTCCAGTGACAGACCATCCAAATAAATATGCATTATCACATGATGCACTGGATATTTCATTCATGTATAATATCATATACACTCACCTAAAGGATTATTAGGAACACCATACTAATACGGTGTTTGACCCCCTTTTTGTGACATGGTACATTATCCTGCTGGAAGTAGCCATCAGAGGATGGGTACATGGTGATCATAAAGGGATGGACATGGTC